AAAAGCCTGACGGAACTTCCGGCCTTCCCATCTATGCAAACATGATCCCCAAAATACGAACGCGAAGGCCACTGCTTCCTAAGCTCTGCGAATGTAATGCATCCATCGCGAAGGCGATGAGCAAAACTTTTCTTCTACCTAATCACCTCTCCAATCATGATATATCATGCATGATTGCGAAGCATTCTAGAACATCAAAAACCAGCAATTCCAAAACATGGTGAAATGGCCTGAAACCCATCTAAAACACACATGAGGCCCCTGGGACCCCGTCCTATCATACCAACCAATCCTAAAACATAACACGGACCTACTCGAGGTCTCAAATCACATAAAAATCTAAACCTCGAATCGCACCTCAACCAAATCCTAAGGAACTAATGAATTTATAACATCCAAAACTTATGCCGAACCATATCAAATCAACTCGGATTGACCTCAAATCTTGCATACAAGTCCCAAATGACACAACCGACATATTCAACTCCTAAAATAACAATCTAAACATAATATCATCAGTGTCAACTCTCGGTCAAACTTATAAACATTCCAAACTTTCAACTTTCCAACTTACGCAAATAAATACAAAATCAACCTACGAACCTCCAAATCCGGACATACGCATAAGTCTAAAGTCACAATACAAACCTATTGGAACCATCAAAATACCATTTTGAGGTCGTCTACACAAAATTCAAACTTCGGTCAACTCTTACATCTTAAGCACCCAACCTTGAGACTAAATGTCTCGATTTAATCCAAAACTTTCTCGGAGTCAAACGTACCAACCCCGCAAGTCACATAACAACAAATACACATATATAAAGCATAAAATAGGGGAAATATAGGCTAAAATACTCCAAACTACTGACCGAGTCGTTACAGTTGACTTTGATATTATCGAGTTCGAATTATTTTTCCTGGAGTAGGAATACGTTTGTTATGTCATTTGAAATTTGTGTGCAAACTTTTAGGTAATTTTGAATTGTTTAGACGTGTTCAACATAAGTTTGGAATTTGGAAATTTGAAATAGTTCATTATGCTTGAATTTAGGTACGATTCATGGTTTTCATATTATTTTGTGGGATTTGAGGCCGCGAGTAAGTACATTTTATGTTTTAGGACTTGTTGGTATGTTTGGATGGGGTACCGAGGAGCTCTGGTGATTTCAGGGGGTTTCAAACCATTTTCTCTCATGTTGGCATTACTAGTTTTCTCTGATTTCTGGCACTGGACTGATGATCATCGCGATCGTGTGGGAGCTTTGCGATCAAGAGGTGTGTTTTGGACCACTAGTGGTTTATGCATCGCATTCGCATCGGGTGGAACACATTCGTGAAGGGTTGAGACTGTTGTTCTCCACGTTCTCACTCAGGGTATTGCGTATATTTTGTATTGGGGGCCTGCAGTCAGCAGAGGTCGCGTTCGTGACTATTCATCCGCATTCACGGAGCATCGGGCCAGTTGGCTATTGCATTTGCGTGCATCAGGCGGTGTTCGCGAAGCAGTTCCTGGGGCAGTGTATCACTTTGTGCATCGCTATCGCGTAGGGTACTTCTCGGTGCATATAAGCTTCTATTTTAGACTTGGGACTCGTTTTATCACATTTTGAGATTGGGAGCTCGGATTGAGATAATATTCACCACTTGGATTGGGGTAAGTGTTCTTGACTCGGTTTTTATTATTATTCTTGATTCTATTCTCGATTTTGGCATTTGATTGATGAATCCAAAAGAGAATTGAGTGTTTTTGGCAAAAACTTTTCTAAGGTGAATAATTGGTTTTGAGTATCGATTCGGATGAAACTGGTATGGTTGGACTCGTATTCGAATAGATTATCGGAATTTTTGAGTGTCAGGTTTCAGAGTGCGGGCCCAAGGTTGACGTTTTGGTTGACTTTGAGTATTTGGTTAAGATTCAACCTTTATTGTTTGGATTTTATTCCTATGGTATTATTTGATAATTTTTAATTGCTTTTGTCTAGTTTCGAGCCGTTCAGAGGTCGGTTCGTGCGGGATGCCACTTCTAGAGTATCAATTTGGCTTTCTTAAGGTAAGTATCTTACCTAAACTTGGTTGAGGCTCTAGTTGCCTGAGTTATTAGTGATAGCTACGTGCTATGGGCGGCACACATATGAGGGGTTGAGCCCATGTGCATGCAGCAAGGTATTATCCATGCTCGAGGTAGTGCTTAGGCTACAATATGCCTTGAATTGATTGATAAGCTTTATGCTGCTATGTTTCTTACATTTGTACCTCTTTTGTGAGCTATTTGAACCATGTTTGAGGTTACATAGAGGTTAATCTCCTGATTGAACCTGATAATTGCTACATTCGGGATGTAATTGTCTGATTTGAGCTATGACAACATACTTTGCAACATGCATACTCTTTAGCATGTCACTTATACCAGTACAAGAGTGTGGAATTTGATATTCATTGATCATGTACATGTAATCTTATATATCTGCCTTTTGTGTGCTATGGATTGGACTGGTAGCACGTAAGATGTTCGTACGGTTATGATTATTGGCATGTAAGTTGTTCGTGCGATTGTCATTATTGGCACGTGAGTTGTCCGTACGGTTGTGATTATTGACATGTGAGTTATTCGTGTGGCTGAGATATGATAACAAGTGAGTTCGTGCGGAACCAACATATTGTTATTATTGGCACACGAGTTGTCCATCGGCTGATATTATTGGCACATGATTTGTCCTTGTGGTTGAGATATTATAGGCACGTGAGTTATCCATGCATCACGTTAGTTGTCCGTACAACACGTGGATAAGGATCCATCTTCCTAGAGTCACCCTCTCATGTTTCTCTCTCGATGGTGTACACACGGTTAATGAAAGTTGATTAGTGGGTTGGTTCGTTTATGCGTATCTTCTCTATATGCTACCTTACCTGATGAGATGAGATATAGTACATATCTTCTCTAAATGTGAACTCGTGTGACTTGACTTGTTAATCATGCATTTCTTCTCTACATGCAAGTTTGATGATTTAATGATATTGGATGCATATCTATCCTATATGTTGGACTGTTAAATGATTCAGGACTTAGCACATCATCTCTTTGTGCACCAATGTGTTTTATCCGTGTTGTATGATTGGATGGCACCAATGTTGTGAACTTATGAGATACATGAATTGAACAAGTTATTAGTGAGTATCATTAATAATTCTTGCCACTATTACCTCGCCGAAGTTAGTTATGATAGTGGGGGCGGTTGTACTCATACTACACTTCTGCACCTTGCATGTAGATCTTGGAACTGAGTTGCTGTGGATGGCGGAAGCTGGCATTGAAGATGTACTTGCCTTCCGGATATAACTACCACTTGTCCTTGGTAGTTTTGGATTCGTACTCTATTTATGTATATTCCATACATATGTTGTATTTAATATTCGTACCAACTTTGTAAATCTAAATTTTAATGGCCCATGACTTGTACTACCAATCCTTGGGATATGTATGGAAACTCAGCTATTTTATTTATTGATTACTTATGATCTTCTTTAGAATTGTGTAATTATTGTTTGGCTTACCTAGTGGGTTGGGTTATGTGCCATCATGACTAGGTAAAATTTGGGTTGTGACAAGTTGATATCAGAGCTCTAGGTTCATAGGTTTTATGAGTCATGAGAAAATGTCTAATAGAGTCTTGTGGATCGGTATGATGACGGACATACTTAACTTCGAGAGGCTATTGTACATTTAGGAAATTTCCTATCTTTCTTTCCTTATTGTGCGGCATTATTTTGGTTTGAAGCGTATATATTTTATTTCTTTCCATCCAAACGTAATATTTATTGAGCACTTGGTATTAGTTGTGCATCGACATCTTGTGATGTCATGGATGAGGTGCGGGATGTGTTCTCTGAGTTACGAAGGTAGGCCAGTCTGGAGGACTAGAAACCAGGTTCTGACCGCAGCTTGGGATCAATGGTTTTAGTTGCGTGACTATTCATTTTTGGACTTATATGTCTGGTAGTGTCCCTAGGAGTAGGATTGGTGGCTCAACGAGTGATTGGATAGCTATATGATGAATATTATGTGACTGAGGACTGTGCTTATATGGTATAGATGCGACGAGGGAAGTTTTGGCTTGGATGCAAAGGGGGTAATCAATGCTTGACTTTTGTCTCGATGTGCCATACAATCTTGAGTTATGAGTGTGTCAGAGATCTTTTAGTTTCTCATTTGTGGAATGAAGTATATTCTTATGTCTTGTTGGCGAGTTCAGACTTGGGATGATTAAGTGATTGCATAATGGTGGTGACCATGATAGGCCGTAGAGAGATGCCAGTTTGAGACTGAGCAGGTGAGTTATCTCCAGCGAGGATCATGCCCTCCTTTGATGCCAATTATGAGGGTTATTTATGAAGATGTAACGTTGAGTATAAATGCCAAATTCTCTATAACGGACCGTCGCTCTTAATGTTGTAGAATATTCCTTAGTAAATGCTACCGGACGCAGATCATTTAATACACTTTTATGAACGTTATCCGTTCCGGTGACAAGCGCAGTAACTGCGTTCGGTCCTCAACCATACCATCTTGGATTCCACGCGTCCTCCTTTTAGCCAGACACATATCATATCATATTTTACCCTATACAGTCATCGACCGTAGTGATTTTTTGTTTTTAGATAAAAAGAAAAATGAGATAAAAGAAAAATGAATGATTAATTTTGTAAAATTTAGATTTTTCTCTCTTACATAGCAATTCAAAATAATTAGCATTAATAAAATATGATGGCTGGAGCGCTGTTAGAAATGAAGGATTTTAATTGAAATGTAAGACAAGGTTATTTTTGAAGCTAGTAATTTTTAACGGAGCACATGAATACCTAATTGCAAATTTAGAACCAAATTGATACGGCGAGCACAAAGACAGAAAAACCTCTCGGGTCTCTATTGGAAGGGCAATAGCCTCAAGGGCAACAAAGTCAAATCGTATCATTAGGATCGGTCTACTAGGGTTTTTGTTTAGGTATTTTAGCTTTGCCTCACACAAGTATTTGTTCTCTTCACAAACAGCGTTTCCTCATTTCCCCACCCCCTTAACACCCCGCCGCCGGAGGCTAATCCAGGAGGAATAATGGTAAGATTCACTGATTTTCTAGCTTGTTCGGATAATCATATGTAGCGTTTCTCCATTTTCTTTTCGATGCTTATGTTACAGAGATTTGCAAAGAAAAATAGCTGAAATAATGCGTTACTATTGTTGTAAAACGGCTTAGTATTCTCGTTTGTGAAGTTTATAGAAATTAATCAGCCTTCTTCACTACTTGGCGGTTTATGCGATGTTTACTGTTTATATCCTGTAACTTACATGTTTATTAGTGCTCGTATGATAATTTTTTCCGTGTTATGATGAGCTTGAATCTTTGGCTCTTTTGTCGGCTCGTTTACACGTTACACACACATACACTACATATATATGTATACGTGCTTATTTGTGTGTAGATTGATCTCTGTATATATGTTTATATGTGTATGTGTCTGTGTATATTATGTGTTTATCAGGAACTATTGGTCCTTATTGAAATATAGTCGTGCTGACACGCAGATGCTTTTCTTTTGCTTAAGTAGTCTCGTTGAGAGCTTGTAATTGATGCACTAGTGTCAATTTTAACTTAAAACACCAGTCTTTAAGAAGAAAGTATTATAATGTAGTTGGTTTTGGATGAATCAGGGTTATGCTATTATTTGAAAACACTTTCCTATAAAATGTTATATACAAGGTTTACTCTCTGCATTTAGATTGAAGTACATTTCTAAAATTGAAGCTTTATTCTCTTGCTTTATTGCCCAACGGAGTTTGCTATGAGTTTTTCTCAACTTGTCTCTCATCTTCTGCTAATTTAAGTATGCATACTTTCTTATTGATTCTTACCAAAATTATGTGCAGGCATTCATCAAAGTCCAGAAGACTAGGGCTTACTTTAAGCGTTTCCAGGTTAAATTCAAGAGAAGGAGAGGTACAATTTACTTTTATTCATCCTTTATTTTTTTCGATATCAAACCGTTTTTCTCTGCAGCTCATAATTTTTGCTACTGTGCAGAGGGGAAGACTGACTACAGAGCAAGGAATCGCCTGATTAATCAGGACAAAAACAAGTACAACACTCCAAAATATCGTTTCGTTGTCCGATTTGTATCCTAAACATTTACTCTACCTTTAGAAGCATCAACTTTGGTGTATGCTGCTTGCTAGATGAGTTCCTCTTGGGATTTGATTTATTTATTTTTGACAATATCTTCAATTCAAGATCAGGTTACTATTACTGTTAATTCTTTCCTGTTAGTCTCTGATGCCGAATGAGTGAAGTTGTTAAAATTGGCACCAGCTGTTCGACGCTGCTTTATTTTCCTTAACGTCTTTCAGACTAACAAGGACATAATCGCCCAAATTGTGTCTGCTAGCATAGCTGGTGACATGATTCTTGCTTCTGCATATGCTCGTGAGCTGCCTCAGTATGGCCTCAAAGTCGGACTGACAAATTATGCTGCTGGTATTTTCATAACCTGTTCTTGTTGGGTCATGTCACCTGAAATTGTGTATTTCTTCTCTGATTGGTGCTAATTCACTCAATGCTTAATTAGCTTACTGTACTGGACTTCTCTTGGCAAGACGAGTTCTCAAGAAACTCGAAATGGATGAGGAGTATCAAGGGAACACTGAGGTAAGTGACAGCTGTGATATCAAGGATACATGTTATTTTGCTGTCTGTAGTTCCAGTATTTATTTTGTGATGGGTGTTATCAATCTTTACAGGCCAGTGGAGAGGATTACTCAGTTGAACCCGCTGAAAGCAGGAGGCCGTTCCGTGCTCTCTTGGATGTGGGCCTTATTAGAACTACTACTGGAAATCGTGTTTTTGGTGCTCTAAAGGTATAATGCTACTTTTGCTGTTCGTTCTATTTTACCGTGTTGTAGTCTAAATTGCATTGTAGTTGTGATTTGAAAAAAGTTATTGATGAAACAGCCGCTTCCACTTGGCATAACCCCCAAAACTGCATTGCAACAATGGTTGCCAATGTCCGAGGAACTCAAAGAGTTGATGTATGTCTATATAAATATTTCTGCTTTAGTTGGTCCTTTTGATGTGTCTGGCAGATGGTCTTTAAATACAAGTCTCTTTCCCCTTGTAGTGGGCCCCTCTTAGTAAGATTTGTCCTGCTATATGACTGATCTCATTTACTATTCTTTGCTTCTGTCCAGGGTGCATTGGATGGTGGAATTGATATTCCTCATAGCGAAAAGAGGTTTGCTGGGTTCAGCAAGGACTCCAAGCAACTTGATGCTGATGTTCACCGCAAGTACATCTATGGTGGCCATGTTGCAACATATATGAAGGTGATGCAGAAAGCACTATATTTTAATCGTTATATTGTTGTATCAGTTATAGACTCCACGGACAATGTTTGTGCTAAGTGGGTAATGAGGTTGTTCTTGTTTGATGGATCTGGCTTCTTCCTATTGTCCGTCTCTAAAATGCTGACGAACCTGTGTTTTTTCAGACTTTGACTGAAGATGAACCTGAGAAATATCAGTCTCACTTTAGTGAGTACATTAAGCAAGGTCTCGAGGCTGATGATCTCGAGGAGATGTACAAGAAGGTTCATGCTGCCATACGTGCTGATCCAAGCCCGAAGAAATCTGAGAAGCAGCCTCCCAAGCAGCACAAGAGGTCTGGTTTTATTTTTAGTTTGTTTAATCCCGTATGAGCCGTTATGAGTTTGTTATTTCTATTAAAAAGTTTTAGTTGCACTTGCAAAAAATGTGTCAAAAGTGCAAACGTCTGGGTGATATAAAGTCCTCGAGCACATTGGCTTTATTTTCTGTGCATGGAGACTCCGTACTTCCTGTTTATGTTATTCGAACATAGGTCTTCTTTGATTGTCTTGTGGTGGATAATTCTGCTGTGCCATGCGTTGAATATATATGGCATGTTTGCTGACCAGACCAATTAAAATGCTCTGTGATTGTATCAGTCTGCTAAGTACATGGCATGTTTGCCGACCAGACCAATAAAATTGATGTAAAAGGGCAGCCTGGTGCACAAAGCATCCCGCGTCCACGCAGGGTCCGGGGAAGGGCCTCACCCCAAGGGGGTGTGATGTAGGCAGCCTACCCTGATGCAAACATCAATGGTTGAAGGTCACACAAAGACTACTTGACCGTTGCTCCAAGGCTCCCCTTCTTGCCAATTACAGTATTCTAAGTACATGGCATGTTTGCTGACCAGACCAATTAAAATGCTGTGATTATCCTTATTCTAAATAATTTGTTCTTTGGGCCTCTCTATTGCAGGTACAACCTGAAGAAGCTGACTTATGAGGAAAGGAAGGCCAAGTTGATTGAGAGACTGAATGCTTTGAATTCAGCTGCTGGAAATGACGATGACGAGGAAGATGATGATTGAGAGACACTAGAATTATGAGATGTTGCTTATGGTTTTGTTATACTCTCTGTTCTTCCTAGATAGGAATCTCAGTTTTGCATGCTTATATGTCTGTTTAACAATGTATGAGGTTAGATTTGACAAGTGCATGAATTCTGTTAAGTACTATCGAATAGCAATCAGTTGTTTTGTGACCTTGACCTCATGCTTTGGATCAATGTAATGGGATTTTTTTTGGATTATTTACGTGTCTTTGTGAAGCATTTGGTTTCTTTATGATGAACGAATTAAGTGTTTATGAAGTGTGTCGCTCATCTTGCAAAGTTAACCTTGTTGGTCATGGCTTTAGCAATTGGTTTTTGGGCTCAATGACTTGTTAGTCGTAATTTCCAGCTGTGGATTTGTGGCATCGCAGATAATAATGCCTAATAAGTTGCTTAGGCATCTGGCCCTTTTCTTCTGTTGTTGGGTTCTCTTGTGATGATTGTCATTCATTTGCCTGCAATTGAAAGTTTATGCTTTCTTTGGGTGTCAATCTAATCTTAAATTTATTCTCTTGTTTTGTTCATTACAACGTTTTTGATTTGTTTTATCTCGTCATGTAGTATGTACATTTAGTATGGCGAGTTCGTTGGCTCTTCTACCGGTTGAATTAGATCCCTAATTGCTTTATGTCAATATAGTCTTGTATTGTTCCATCGTGTTGTCTCTAATTGCTTTTGGTGTTGAGAAAAGGAGAATTGTGGAGGGTGCGGTGCCTGGAATGGGTTGAATTAGTTGATGAATATCGGTTGAGAGGGCAATCAGTCAGGAAGCACACAAAAAAAAGAGATGTAAAACTTTGCCCAAAATTGTCTGTGTTATTTATAACCTGTTTGGCCAAGTTTCTTCAAGGCCAAAAGTTTTTTTTTTTCTTTCCCCNTGTTTGGCCAAGCTTTTAGGAAAAAAATATTTTTGAGTAGGAGCAGAAGCAGTTTGGAGAAACAGAAAAAAGTATTCTCTCCAGAAATACTTTTTTGAAAAGCACACTTAGAAGTATTTTTTTACAACTAATTGCTGCTCAGAATTGCTTCTTAAATTAATTAGTCAGACACAAATTATTTCTTACCAAAATTACTTTTGAGAAAAAGACTTTTGAAAAAAAAAAATACTTCTCAAAATAAGTTGATTTTAAATACTTGGCCAAACAGGCTATTAGAAGGGAACTTTCAATCGCTCGAGGGTAAAGAGTTTGCTTGTTATGCATTTGATAATAAAGAGAATTCATGGAATAGTCTATTACTTTTGCTTCCTTCAAGCATTTTACCATATGCTGATACGGAATGGGTATGACAAGATAGATTGGCGACTGCTTTGTTCTAATTTTGGTGTGAGAACAAAATTAGCATAGAAATAACTTGAGTGCTATATAGAAGTCCTTAACCAAAAGGCCAGATTCCAACAAAGGTAAAGAGAGAAGATTACTTACATTCGCTTTAGAAGTATTTATTATGAAATAGAGAAATGATTAAATTCGCAAATACTTATTCACCCTTTTTACCAAGGGAGCTGTACTTTCACTCATTAAGAAAAATGAAATATTACTAGACGAAAAACGACAATCCATATTAAATCTGTGTTTCTATAGGAACTTTTGGTCCTATTCAATTCTTTGGATTCCAAGCGTTTGGGATTTAAGACTCAATAAAACTGAACATACCAACGTTTGGAACGCGATGGTTCTAGCCTCATTTCCTGTTTTACTCATCACCCTTTTTCTTATTTTCATAACTCTTAGATCTAAAAATAAATTCAAGGAGCTAAGAGCAAATAAACCCTATTACATTAGACTCACTAGAAAGAAAAATAATCAGTACACCGATTCTGCCACAAAAGAGAAATGGCAGAAGCATAATAGCTTCAACGTCAACCAAATTTTTAAACAAAAGAGTAGAGAGGAATCTGAAATCTTCACGAAAGCTAAAACGTCATATCCAAAAAAAGTCCACTGAGGTCCATTTCTAACATGCTTCGACATAGCAGTGATTTGTACCAGGAGAACAACAGATAATCAGAAGTCTTTTACCTCAAATATGCTTCGGGGGATAATTACAACCTAATGAGAAGATGAGGCAATTTCAAGAGGTAAACCTCAAAGAGGTTTAAGTCCCGCAAAAAAGAGATTTTCGTCCACCACAGCATTGCCTCCCTAGAGCTTGTTGATTTAAGTAAGACCTTGCTCCTTTTAGAACGAGTCAAGAACAACTAATTTTTAATCGTCCTCCTCAGGGTCGAAATCTTTAACCTTTACATCAGCATCCTCTCCATACTGAATGCAGTTGTCAATCTGAGATAAGATGTACTGTATGCTGCAAAAAGGCAGAGAACATTGATCTTTGTCATTGAAGCTGAAACAATAATTTAATAGTAAGACTAAAAGCACAAAAGGTGCTCTCGAGTGGGTTACGCACACAACAAACACATACACAAGCACAGACAAACAAGCTACCATCCATCTGGTGGTTCAGACGTCTAATGTACTATCCCTTAGGTCAAAAGTTCTTAGCATAAGTTTACCAACCAAGCAATCTATAAGAAATGGCTAAATATCTGGCAAACTAAAAAGCCCAAATTATCACTGTCGTCACCATCACATTTTTATTTGAGATAAGTTACTATGAAAACCCGAAGTGTGAATGGGAAGCAGGGAGTGAAAACATGAGAACCAGGTGCATATTGATGGAACTGAGACACTGAAACATCATTGCATTATGTTTTCTATCAATAAATCAAGCTGATCAATTCAATCTCGAACAAACGTGGTTCCATAAAGATTATTTAAATTTACCACAAGATTATGTTACCTCCTCTCTTTTCTCAAGTCAAGAGGGAGAAAGCTCACCATGCTGTACTGGTCCACCTGTACACAAGAAAAATATCAGCCATTATAGATAACTTTCTTCTCATATCTTTTCATCCGAAAGTAAAGACTAAAAGTACGGCAGAATCCGTGGCATATAATTCATATCCTACAAGCCTGTACAATCTTGTATCTAACTTGGGAGAAAGAACAACCTCTTCAAGTAAAGTTGCCATTAGGTTTCAATGACAAAGAGAATAATCGAAGAACACAAAACATATGTGATTGTCTTTTCAATAACTAATACACAATTCTCGGAAACATCATAACTATCACAGCTTACCACTTCAATCAAAGATTTGTTAAGCTTCTGAAATTGTGGAGCCATTCGCTGATTCAACTCTGCTAGTAACAGCTGAGGCTCTGGATCCAAATAACTAAAGGGAAAATAAATTTCAATACACTAAAATAACAAAGACATTTAGTGGGAGCATGTGTTGAAAGTGCCAAAGACATGAAACGATAGTTAGAGGTAGTAGGACTAACTTCTCAACATCCTTTTTGTTTGTCACAAGATCCATTTTTGAGAGAATGTTAACATGGGGTAGTTCAAGTTGAACCATAGCAGAGAGTGAAGTCATGCAACCACTAATGAATTTGGTCACATCTGTGATAAACTGAGATACAAAAAGAACATAAACGCCATGGTTAATAGCAAGTGAAGGAAAAAGAGAAGAAAATCATCTAGTAAAGATCACGCACCTGAGAATCAAGTAAATACACAACACAAACATTAAAATTTTTACGCCTTAGGTGTTCCACAAAGTTCTTCAGCACAGGAACATGTGAAAAAAGTTCAATCTGGCCTGTATAACGATGAAATGTCAGAATAGTCTATATATATATATATGTGTGTGTGTGTGTGCGCGCGCGCGCATCTGGGAGTGCATGTGTGCATTTCTTTCTATAAATACATAAAGATATTTGTTACGAGATAAGAATACAGGTCAGTGTAGAAAGTTAGATTATGGGTAGTCACAATAAGAGACAGATGGCCGAGCAACAACATAACAAAGTAGAAATCATGTTAGGAAACTTAGAACAATTTTCCAAAGTTAAGGATAAGACGAGTGCAATGGACTAATGTGGAATTGCTGGATCATTTTTATCCTCCAATGACTTGACACAAGAAGAAGAGGGAACACCATATCTACAGCCTTAGGATGGAGAGATGGAGCCCAAGGAGTGGGAAAGGAAGGAGTTCTTAGTTTGACGCGAGCCTTTAAGTAATGCATTTAGAAAAAAACAGGATCTTATGTTCTCATCCCATATCTAAAGACTGCTCCATCACTGTCCAACGGAGTAGAAGGGTCTTAATCACATAAGTTGCATCAAAGAGTAAATACATCTGAACATGCAATGTTCATTCTCTGAAAATGTACACAACGTGGATGTCATGGACACAAATAATGACATCAAGAATTAGTAACTGAAAATTAATTCAGATGTTTTGATACAAATGTTTCCAGTATAAGAATTAGACAGGTATCTCAAAATTAATTCAGGTGACTTGATACAAATGTGTCCAGTAGAACAACATTCTGAAGTCATTTAACAAGAAAGAAACAGCTAACCCTTGATTTCAATCCATGAACAATCTAAATGGCAAGCGTCTGTAAAGACAATTCCAAGGAAAATCACAAATGATAGTCAAGCCCTCGGAGACTCTCCACCACCCGTATGTCCCTATAGTATTTACTCACATGAAGTTATGTTGGCAGTATTCTAGGTTAATATCTTAGCCTGCTAACAAAACTCAGTAGTCTACGGCGGAGAATTAGTACTGTACTGCTAATATAAGAACAAATAGGAGAGGAAAATGTACAAGTACCTGGGCAGTCAAACACTAGGTAGTCATCATCCAAGTAGTTGTCCAACTCTTCTGTTAGCCACTCATCCAAATTTTCTTGAAGATGTCTGATATCACCATCAAGGGCTTACAATTTTGACAGGACAAAAACAGGATTTTAAAATTTTCATACAAAAGAAACAGAATTCTGAAAATGAAAAGCCTCTAAAGGAAGGATACTCCATGCAATACATAAGGCCACCATTTGGTCCGAGACCTAGTTCTTCCATAACATCATCCAGTGAGATGAGTTCTCTGATGTCTGCAAACCAATATCATTAAGTTAATTTTAGAATTAAGACATATGAACAGAAAGCTAATTACTCAAAATACTCCATCTCTTCTCACCCATAGCCACTGGATAGTCAAAGTTCTCGGCAGCAGGATCCAAGTTGACAATATGGATAGTGCGCCGCGTGGTCTCACAATGTTGATGCAAACTAGAGCAGTAAGTGGACTGTAAAAGAAATATCAGTCTAGGTGAAACTAGCCATTTCAAGGACATCTTTTTAGCAGGATTGGACATCCAAATATAAATCAATGACAAATCCAATATGAAACATTATAGTAACGTGAAGCAATATGATCCAGCTATCACCTTTCCACTGCCTGCAGGGCCAATAACCAACTGTGCGTAGCCCATGATCACTGCCTTTTCTGTTCCTTTTACACGTTGCTCAAATCGAGAGGTCAACTGAGGATAGAGGTTCTGAGAAAATTGAAAATCTGAAAGAAGCCAAGAACTGCAACCAACATGTATGTTGCACACCACACACCAGCCGCAAACAACAAGCTTAATATATCAGCTTGGCCCATAAGCATTATCATGAGAAAAGAAACATCACAATATCACCTGAACTACCCATAAATAAAGCCAAAAAAAAAATGATTGTTGAAAGCAGCCAAAAAAAAATTCCATGAAGTAGGCTCATAAAAAGCCTCTACAAACTTAAAAATAGACAAAGTTATAAGCTAAAGCAACATCCTTATGATGGGGGTATCACGAATTATATCTTCAGATTTCTAATATATGCAACAACCATATCAACAAATAAAAGAATAGGCATTAGTCAACAGCACGACTCCAAACCCTCCCCCCTTTCCCCCACACCCACTCATCCCACCACCCAAAACGATGAAAAGGCAAAATAAAATTTGTTCCTTTGAATTGGAAAATAAAGAGTCTATGGTTCTTGTTTTTCAATTTTTATATAGTTTTTGTTTGAACATAACAGCAAAGAAAGGACGAAACTATTGTCGCCCACATATATTGCAACAAAGTACGGAGTAAGATTTTTACAATACAAAATAATACTAACAGAGACAGAGAAGCATATATTATGGAAAAATCGAAAAGAAAAGCATAAAAGTCATGAACTTGCCCGAAGTTGCAGAGGACGTAGATGGTTTCTCCTCCTACTACTTCTCTCTTCCACCTAATAGGTAGTAGCCTCTCTTCTTTATCTTTTCTCTTCCGCGTCAAAAAACTGCCTGTATATAGAGGTGCCAAAACAAGCCCAAACCCATTTAATCCCCAAACCGCCCAAATTTTAATGGGTTGGGCTTGTAAGATTTTGCTGATCGACTAATTTGGGCTGAACCCATTTTAATGAAGGAAATTCTACCTCCTATAGCAAAGGTATACACCCTACTTATTATAAACCAAAATTATTTTAAAATATTATTTTCTATAGCTACCTTTTATATTTTATAGAAAAATAAATATTTTATGGTATATACTACCATTGAGGCATGAAATATGACATGAAATACGCTATTAATGTTTTTTCTCTCTCTTAGACACGTGGACATACCTATTTTAAGGGATTGTCGTTACTGTATTCATGAATACATGACGCGAATACATGTGAATACATGCGCGTACAAATGGACTGCCCTGATTTTAGGCGCTTTTTACTGTTGTATTCATGAATACAACATCGCGAATACATGTGAATACATGCGCGTACAGCTGGACTGTCCTGATTTTAGGCGATTTTTACTGTTGTATTCATGAATACATGGCGCGAATACATGCGCATACAATTGGATTGCCCTGATTTTATGCGCTTTTTGCTGTTGTATTCATGAATACAACAACGTGAATACATGTGAATATACTACCGTAACAACTGAATAGTAGCTATAGGAAGTAATTATGTATATGGTAGCTATAAGAAGTTAATAGCCACTAAATAATAGTGGTTTCTGAAAATTTTTCTTTAACCAATTAGGTGAGCGAATATTTGGATTAAATCTAGGGATTTTTTCCTTCATATACAATATTTGAAACTTAATTACCAAAATTGTCCTAAACAAGGATTACTAACAAATTACATACAATCCATTATTAGTGCCTTAAATTAGGAGATTTAATTATTATCCTTTTCCTATTTTCTCTCCCCTCCTCTTTCAATAAGAAGGACACGGCTCCTCTCCGATTTTTGGGTTGAGATTACCTCCATTACTTAATGCTCCAGTAGGTTTCAAGGTTTCAATACACAACTTGAATGATGCCACGTGTTCCTATAGAAATTTAATGGTGTGATTATATTTCTTCTCATCCCCTATCTATGACTGGTTTCTTTTTCCAAAAAGTAAAAAATAAAAATAAATAAATACATAACCCTGCTTATCCAACAAACTGACTACTCTTCCATTTCTATCTCTGGCTAATTTTTTTCTTCAAAACTAATACTCGGTAACTCTTAATAAGACAACAATCTGATCTCCAAAAATGTAAATCAACCATTAAACGAGAATCTCAAACTACTCAAAGGCTCTTCTACACGATAGCATTAGCAGCACTTGCAATCCTAGGCCACATATCAGCACACTCTTTCCCAATTGGCCCTGTAATTGCAGATATGTCACGACCCAAAATCCCACCATAGGAGTCGTGATGATACTTAGTCTCTAAGACTAGGTAAGCCGATTACAATTTCAATTCAAGCCAAAATTTTTTTAAAATAGAATTTAATACAAGTGTCGAAATCAAAAGCGAAAATAATTATTAAAACTTTCCAAGACTGGTAATACTGAGTCACGAACTCTAACTGAATACATGCAATAATCTCAAGGATCGAATATACAATAATGTTCGAATAAGAGTTGACAGTACAATAAAATGGAAATACTCTAAGGGACTGCGACGACCAAGAAGCTCTACCTTGAATCCTTGCGATCAACACACTAACTCTGTCCGAGTCTGATATCTCCAATACCTGGCTCTGTACAAAAATGTGCAGAAGTGTAGTATGTGTACACCATGGTCGGCACCCAATAAGTATCAAGACTAACCTCGGTGGAGTAGTGACGAGGTACAGTCAAGACACTCACTAGTCAAATAACCTATGCAGTATAACAGTATAAAATAGTACTGGAAAACAACTAGCCATGATGGCAACAAAATTCAACCAGTGATATAAACAGCAAGTCAACAAGAACACCATAATTATTGCTCAAATGAATAAGGAACATAAATACAAATAATTAATCAAGTCCTTCAAATATAAATCTTTCACCTATAATTCTTTCAGATAAATATCTTTCAAATATACTTCTTTCAAATAAATATCTTTCGAATATAATTCTTTCAAATAAATATCTTTCGAATAAAATTCTTTCAAATAAAAGTCACTCTGTGACACCTCATTTCATAATCATAAAACACAGGTCTCAACCCACTTTTATATTTTCACGGCACCTCGTGCCCATATTTCTATCACAACCGTACGGATAACTCACGTTCCAAAATATCAAGGATTACTATCCGTACGTACAACTCATGTGCCAATAATAAAATCATCATTTACTCACGGCAACACGTGCCCACATCTTATTTCACAACTGCAGGGACAACTCACGTGCCAATATCATAATCATTATATACCCACGACACCTCGTGCCTACATTTCATATCACAATCGCACGGACAACTCACGTGCCAATAACATATTCCGCCCGGCAATAGCCACATACTTACAATTTCAACATGTATCAGACTATTATCAAATTTACTGAATTAACAAAATAAGTTGCACAAGATATAAAAGTAATCACAAGAAAATTACAACATAACGTGAAAATTACCAGCACAATAACCCCACATCATCACATAACATCCTGATAATAGCCACCCATATTTCTCTTATAACCACCCTTATCACTCCTATAATAGTCTCCATTATCCTTCTGCCTTGACAATATCAATAGTCACCCTTATCGCTCCTATAACCACCCTTTTCGCTCCGTTTAATAACCTCCCTTATCACTCCGCCCAGACAATATCCCAACACACATAACAACAGTGAAATGCCACCCTTATGCCCGCATAATATCAACAGTGGGATGACACTCTTATACGCCATATAACAGTAACCCAAATCATACAACAATTCACACAGAATATTATCACAACAACACAACATAATCAACTCGTATTTAAAAATTGCCCGTAGGCCACAACCTTTCCAAAGATACAATGAAATCAATTAATTTCACAAAAGATAGCCCACAACTTAACACAATGTATATAAAATCTCAAAAACAACAGCAGGGATGGAAAAGTAACTCAGCAAGAACAACGCCTTCTTTAATCTAATTTTTTGATAAATATATAAATGCCTCATTTAAAATTTATTTAATTAATTATTTGCAGATGGAAAATCCATAATGTAATTATTTCCACGAAATGTCAACTCAACAAGCACACGAAATTCACATAAAAATCAAACTAGAAATCATACCAAATTATCATATAAAATAAATTCGACAAACAAAGAACGAGGCATAACAAATAAGGATTAATAAATGCCAGCAATTTCCAATTTAATACTTAAAAATGCCTACGACTTTAAACCAAAAAAATTTACACATATAAGCCCGAGTACGCACTCGTCACCTCACGTACACGGCTTTCACATTACACAAATGGCACATACGACTCAATTCCTAAGGGGTAATTCCCCCACTCAAGGTTAGGCAAGATACTTACCTTTTTGAAGTTAGGCCAATATTCCAAAATAACCTTCTTGCGTGAAATGACCTCCGGACGGCTTAAATCTAGCCAAAATTAATTGCATAACTTCATTAAAATTCATCGAAAATAATTTCGGATAATATAACGTCTACTTAAAATTTCACATTAAAAAGTCAACCCGAAAGTTAAAGCGGGGCCCGCCTCTCGGAACCCGACAAAATTTTTACGAAATCCGAACACCCATTCCGATACGAGTTCAACCATACTAATTTTATCAAATTCCGATAACGAATCGACCTCCAAATCCTCAATTTAAGATATAGAAAATTTCTACCATATTCAACCCAATTCACTAATTTCATGATAAAAACAACAATAGATTCGTGTATTTTAACCAAAATCGAGTTAGGAATTCTTACTCCAATGTTTTCCTTGAAAAACTCTCGAAAAATCGCCTCACCCGAGCTTTCTTCGTCCAAAAATGGAAGAATGAGATGAAGTCTCATTTTTTGACTTTATTCTACTGCCCAGGGGTTTGTTCTTCGCATTCGCGACCCTCCCCTCGTGTTCGCGATGAACAAATTCCTCAACAGCTATTTCCAAACTCTTACCAGACAACCTCTAGTATAATGGTCATAACTATTTGTACAAAACTCCAAACGACAATTGGTTTGATTTTCTGAAAACTAGACATCAAGGGATACAACTTTCATTTTGATCATCTCTCAATTCCTTATAGATTGCGAGATATAAGCTTCCAAAATTAGCCTTGTGCAACAGAAATTTCTTCTTCGTGATTTTCAAACTCTTCCCAGACAGCTTGTATTGTATCAACCATAATATTTTGTACACTACTCCAAATACCAAACAATTTAATTTTTTATAAAACTAGACACAAAGGGCTACAACTTTTATTTTTGGATCATCTCCAAATTCCTTATAGAATGTAAGATATAAGCTTCCAAAGTTGGGTAAGTGCAACAAAATATTTCTCTACGCGATCGCAAAAAACCTTCTGCCATCGCAATTCACAGGCCCATATTTCCCATTTTACTCTTCGCGATCATGGGAAATTCCCCGCGATCGCAATGCACACTGCTGTAGCCAAAAACCAGCAGCTAAAAATGGCCGAGAAATGATCCGAAACCACCCCGAAACTCACCGAGCCACTCGGGACCACGTTCGAATACCAACATGCCCCATAACATAATGCGGACTTACCTGAGGCCTCAAATCACACATCACAACATCAAAACTACCTCGATCCTACGAATCGCAGCTCAAATTCAAGCCTATGAACTATGAACTTTCAAATTTCGAAATTGATGCCGATTTATATCAAAACAAATCCGATTGACTTCAAATTTTGCACGCAAATCATAAATGACATTACAGACCTATTCCAACTTTCGGAATTGAATTCCGACCCCGATATCGATAAAGTCAATTCCCGGTCAA